CCTCTGAAAAATGCCTGACATATTCAAGACACCTAATAAACGTTTAAAGAATTCTGTTGGATTACAAAAGAAGGGTAGCAGCCACTGGTCTCATCACAAGGATTATATGGACGCTATTCAAGAGGGCAGTAACCCCTGAAACTGGAACCTGGAACCTGGGCCGTTACCCCTTTATTTGGTCAGTAGCATTAATTTCTCTGTTGAGAGTATCTGAAGCTCCCAAACTGGTCCCAAATAGTGATTGGTTCTACACTGTTCTTTCCAAACCATTTAAGGCTTTCCGATATGTTTACTCTGATATTGTCAATTCGCACATTAAAAAATGTTTGTCATACCAGTGCCAGGCTGTTTTGACAATTGTGGCTGTACAGAAGGTTTTAAGGTCAGGTAGGGCAAGACCACCTGCTTTGTTCTTCTGTGTAGGAAGGTTTTTTCTTATCCTGGGCCTCGTATCCCTCCCTAGGAAGTTGGTAAATAGTTTTTCTATTTCTTTAAATAATGGTGTTGGGATTTGGGTTGAAATTGCCTTGTACTTGCTTTAGGTAATATTGACATTTTCACATATCCAGTTTCTATCCATGAACACGGAACACTCTTCCATTTGGGTGGGTCTCTTTGGGTTTCTTGTGGTAACAGTCCTGGTTTTCTTTGTACGGGCCTTTTGTTTCTTTGGTTATATTTACCCCTAGTTAGTTCAACTTCTGTGTGGCTGCAGTGAATGGTATTCCTTGGTGTCTCCTTTGGCGCTCCCTTCAATTATAGCTAAGAATCCAATTGATTTCTGTTTGTTAATTTTGTATCCTGCTACTTTACTAAATCCCTCAATCGTTTCCAACAATCTTTTTTGTGGAGACCTTGTGGTTCTGTATATATACAATCATATTGTCTGCAAATATGGAGAGTTTTACTTCTTCTTTGCCTAGTTGTAGTCCTTTAATCTTTTGTTCCCCTTTAATGTGTTTTATTTTTATTTATTTATTTAATCCTTGTATTGAAGGAACTCTTTCAAATCTTATGACAACCCATCTTCAGTTGTACTACGTACACTTGTACATATGTTGCCATCAACATTTCCAAAACATTTTCTTTCTACATGAGACCTTGGCATCAGCTTGATTTTATCTTACCGGACTTCTCTGTTGGATGTTTTCTTGTCTGGCCGCCCTGCCCTGTCTCCCTCGCGGTCAACACCACCTTCCCCAGGCCCACCAGGGCGACCTAGGAGGGATTATCTGCTGACAATCCTACCAAGCTCATCTTCCTGGCTCCTCCTTCACCGCCTCTGTCCCCCCAGGCCTGCCATAAGTGGCCACCCTTCCCTCCCCGCGCCCCATCTCTGGAACTCCAGGAACCAGCTGGGTCCTTCTGATGTGTATGCTGATGACCCTTATCCCCACCCCTCTTGTCACCCCACCCTTCTTGATGACCCCAGGGAGACCTCAGGGAGCAGAGTAGGTGGCCTGCAGCTGGAGCTCTGGAAAGGCAACCCCTCAGCCACGTTCTGAGGAAATAATCTTTTGTTCTTGTCTTATGGTTCTGGCTAAAACTTCCAGCACAATGTTGAATAAGAGTGGTGATAAGGGGCATCCTTGTCTCATTCCTGTTTCCAGTGGAATAGACACATAGACAAATAGCACAGGTCCAAAAACCCAGAAATAAAAGCATCCACCTATAAGAAAATGATTTTCGACAAAGGACAAAAAAAGGGGGTGGGGCAGTGCCCTCTTCAACAAATGGTGCTGGAAAATTGGATCTCCGTCAGCAGAAGAAAGAAACAGAAGCCATACCTCACCCCATGCAGAAAAAATGAACTCAAGATGAATCAGAGACTTAAGTAAGTCCCAAAGCTATCAGGATCATCAAGAAGAAACTGGCACAAACTTAAGGGCCCTATTGCAGGGCATACACAGCCTACCAGATATAACAAAGGATTCACATGCAGTGGAAGACGAAATAGATGAGTGAGACCTATTAAGAATAAAACACTTATATACATCAAAAGATTTCATCAAAGGAGTAAAATGAGAACCCATCCTATTCAAGAGGCCTGCTCACCCTAGGAACTGGAACACGGGAAAAATCCATGGAACATGTAACCGGACTGGAAAAAATCTTTAGCAATGACATAATGGATAAAAGAGTAATCACTAAAATCTACAGAATTCTGCAACACCACAATAAGGAAAAACAAAAAAACAACCCTTTCAGAAGGTGGGAAAAGAACCTACATAGACAATCCATAAAGGATGACATATGAATAGCTAACAAGCACATGAGGAAATGCTCTTGTTCACTAGCCATCTGGGAAATGCAAATCAAACCAATGATGAGCCACCATCTTACACCCACAACGAAACCCAATTAAAAAAAAAATGAGACAAAACAACAAAAAAACAGAATAACAAATGCTACACTCTTGGTAGGCTTGTATACACATACAACCACCATGGAAAGCAATATAGCAATGCCTAAAACTACTGGCAAGAGAAGTTACCATACGGCCCAGCAGTACCATTTCTAGGCATATATTCCAAAGAAATAAGAGGCGGATCATGAACAGACATATACGCTCCTATGTTCATTACAGCACAGTTCACATTATCAAGAAGTTGGAAACAGCCCATTTTCCCATCAGTAGAAGAATGGATTAAAACAAAACAAAACTTTAGTATACACACAATGGAATACTATGCATCCCTTAAAAAAGACAAGCCAGTCAGGGTGCAGGGTAGCAACGATGAAACATACAACTTTCCTCTAGTTCTTAAATGCTTCCTCTCCACCCACTATCATGATCCCTAC